GTGTGTGTGTCTGTCTGTGAGAGTGTGTGAGTGAGTGCGTGAGTGAGTGAGTGTGTGTGTGAGAGAGAGTGTGTGTGTCTGTCTGTGAGAGTGTGTGAGTGAGTGCGTGTGTCTGTTTTACACTCTTAATGTTTTAGAGTGTAACCCCTTCCTTGCTGTCCACTTTTTTACCGTATTGTAGTTTAAATATTGATTTTATTTTACATAGTTGCAGTGTTACGGTCACACCAGTTCATAGGTGTGTGTGTGTGTACAAGTGTGTGCGTGCGTTTTGTTTTTTCCCCATTTTCCATTCATTTCCTATGGTCTGTCATTTTTGACCGAAGACCATGAGTGTGACAATTTTTTTTTATGACCACTTAGCTTTTTCGAATCATGTCCTCAATTTTTTTGTGTGTTCACATACCAAGTGCCATAAAAGTCACCAAGTTTCGTACCATTCTGGTGAAGCTACGATTTAAAAAAATTCTCTGGTCAGAAATGACCGAAGACCGCACAAGGGTTAAACTAAATGAAAATAAGACATTTTTCCTTGGCAACTAGTTAAAAAAATTTTTTTCAGGAAATGTTTATTTTATTTCAAGGAACAAAAATATTGTTTTATTGGTTTTGGTTTTAGTTCATTTAAAAAAAAAAAACAATTTTAATATATTTATTTTATTTGAAGCTACAATACTGTTTTACACTCTTAATGTTTTAGAGTGTAACCCCTTCCTTGCTGTCCACTTTTTTACCGTATTGTAGTTTAAATATTGATTTTATTTTACATAGTTGCAGTGTTACGGTCACACCAGTTCATAGGTGTGTGTGTGTGTACAAGTGTGTGCGTGCGTTTTGTTTTTTCCCCATTTTCCATTCATTTCCTATGGTCTGTCATTTTTGACCGAAGACCATGAGTGTGACAATTTTTTTTTATGACCACTTAGCTTTTTCGAATCATGTCCTCAATTTTTTTGTGTGTTCACATACCAAGTGCCATAAAAGTCACCAAGTTTCGTACCATTCTGGTGAAGCTACGATTTAAAAAAATTCTCTGGTCAGAAATGACCGAAGGCCGCACAAGGGTTAAACTAAATGAAAATAAGACATTTTTCCTTGGCAACTAGTTAAAAAAAATTTTTTCAGGAAATGTTTATTTTATTTCAAGGAACAAAAATATAGTTTTATTGGTTTTGGTTTTAGTTCATTTAAAAAAAAAAAACAATTTTAATATATTTATTTTATTTGAAGCTACAATAAAAAAAAAAGGTTTTAGTGAACTATAGTATTAAAAGAACACTTTTTCAACAAAACATTCCTCAAGATGAAGTTTGCTAAATTTCAAAATATGAGACAATAAATATATTATTCTAAATGAACACAAAATGTCTTGGACATTGAACACTATACATGTAACTCAGAAAGTGGATTTAGTTCTGAGAAACATCATTTGAATGCAGATGCTACTTGACTTAATATTTAGTATCTTTTGCAATCAAATTCAGAGATTTTTTGGCGTGACTTCGGTGTCAGAAAATCCAGACTCGCATTAGTTCTGCAGTCCACTTCAAACACATTAACACTAAACACTGTCTGGATTTTGATCGTAAAGGTCACCTGTGTGTCCAGAAGAGCTGAGAGATGTTGCTTTCCTTCCTCAGTCTCTCTGGATGTTCCTCAGACATCAGGTCTGGTGAAGATGAACCAGCGTCTGGTGGAGGCCAGCAGACAGTTCCAGAAGAAACAGGACAAATGGACGAACAGGACAAAGAGGAGTGTGTCAGATTTGATTGATTTCTTTCCCAAACGGCAGAGACTGCTCTAAAATACGAGACACTATTTGTTTATTCAATAACTGTTTTATTTCCTATTTGGGTTAATGTACACTACCGGTAAAAAGTTTGGGAGCAGAATGAATTTAGCATATGATAAGAAAAAACCTTTTCTTATTATCGATGCTGAAAACTGCTTTTGCTGCTTGATGTATTTGTGAAAACTGTGATACACTCCCATTCAAAAGTACGGGGGAAATATGATTTAAAAAAAAAAAATATTCAGCAAGAATGCATAAAATGTATCAAAAGTGACAGAAAAGACATTTATAATGTTGATTTCAAAGAAATTTCGATTTTTTAAAACTTCCTATTCATCAAAAACCACCAAAAGTCATTTTGACCTAAAATATCATGAATCACTCTGAATCAAAGCCATGACTGAATTCAACACGCAACATAATGAGCTATAAATAGCCTGATTTAATATGGAAAGCCATATGGGTCATAATTCGCACGCTTTCCACCGCCGTATCGATTCGTGATGTAGCTGAAGCTAAACTATTAGCCTTATTAGGTCAAACAGGCTTTGTAGTTCACGCGTGTTCCAGTATCGACGGAAAATCTCATAATGAGCATTGTGACGAACACCTAATTCATATATCAAACTAGGCTGATAAAAGTTTATAAATCTAAATGTTTTGGCTCCAAATATGACATGCATTTAATAAAGTTTGAAAAATGGGATTACAAAGGTAACAAAATAAAAGCTTTAAGGAGTCAAATTTTGCCCTATAAGGTTAATTTCTGTCATTGATCAGACGGTGTTCCTTAAAAAAAAATATGTATATATATATATTTTTTTTTAAATGTAAGCGCATAAAATAACTTCCAAATGTGCACTCATTCATGACTCGTGTGATAACTTTATGAGACAAAAGCTGATTCAGGGGCATTTCCCCCTACATCTAGAATTGTAAGAGCTGCACTTGCCATCTTCGCGCTCTTGCAAACTGGATGCTCCGACTTGCCGTAGAGTCCTCGTAGCCATGAGAGGTGTGTCCATGTAGATGAGCAAATAAATCTGCATCTTAAGTGGCGTGTGGCGTTATGAAAACGGCGTTTTAATATCGATACGGCGGTGGAAAGCGTGCGAATTATGACCCATATGGCTTTCCATAATTTAACATCACTGCTGCATACTGTAATGAAGACAATACTCAGTGTACACCGCGCAGTATGCAGTATGCAGTCTGCACTGACTCTACACTGCCCTCTACTGGACACACCACAGCTCTGCGTCTAAACAAAAGCATTTTAGTGTCAATGTATTCAGAGTGATCCATTAAAGTATCTTATTTTTGTCAAGTATAGTGATACTTTTGTAAATATATTCACTAACGGCCTAATCACTGATTAAATAATTTATTGTGATTTAAAGCAGTGATAGTATTGTGAAGGAAACTGCCGGTAATACCGCGGTATTTTAACGGTTGATTCAAACCAAGAACGACACAACTCCAAACGAGCTGTGAACCGTTTGTACGAGTATTCGCCGGATAACACGTGTTTAACGTGATTAATTATCATAATTAATTTCACCTGAGTGTTTAACGCCATCGTGACGCGGTTTTTCCCTCAGAATGCGCCGTTTAAGGGTCACGTGACTCCGCTTCGTTGTTTCTCACACAAACAGATCGACCGACTACAGAGAACTACACACAGCACAAAAAACTACAACTCCCAGAATGCAAACAACAACAACAACAAATATGGCGGATTAACTTACCGTTGAAGATGCTGGTTTGGCGCGTTTCTGTGGCTGCTGTTCGCGGCTTAAACGGATTGGGTGTCGGACGCGGCGCTGGAGGTATATAACAACACGACACAACGCGAAATAACCGTTAATAACGGACAGCAGCGCGACGCTCCGTGATATCACAGCCGCTACAGAATAACATGTGATCTCACTTCTATCTTACAGTGACACGGAGAAGGTAATGAATGTAGTATGTCTGCTATATTGATAAACAATGACTACTTCCGGTTTCTCCCGCATACTGGCTTCATAACGACGACTTGGGATGGGCGGGATCATCGCGTAACAATATCGATTCTGAAGTGCTTTTTTTTTTTTACCATTAATTTTATTTATTTATCAAAAAACTCGGTGCATAAAATAAGCTTCCAAGTAGAAAAACAGACTATATTAGCGAATAATTGTGTTGTATAGAACGATTTCTCCCGCTCACTGAAAGACCGAACCAGCCAATCACAGACAGCCTTTTACAAATCCTCCAAGGTGCACCTCTGTAACTTGTCTATCTGTATGGAACAAATATGCTCCCTTTTAGGGGTAGTTGCACCTGTGAGGTTACTGCACCAGTAAAGGGCTAAAATACAATTAGAGTATATTTTATTTGTGACAGTGTAAACCAAAAAAAGGCCTATGAAATGTTCAAAAACATGGCTTTATATATGTATGATTACGGATTAGATTCTTTTAATAGCTTAAAAGCTCAGTTTAAGGTATCGATATGGACGATACTGGGCTTGAAAATATCAGTATCGGATCGAAAATAAAATAAGAGGCATCGGCCATCCCTAGACTAATTTAAGATTAAATTAATTTAGATTAAACGTCCTCTTTTTGACGGTCACGCAGCACCGGGGTTGCCAGGTTTTCACAACAAAATCCGCCCAATTGCTACTCAAAATAGACCAAAAGTAGCCCAATCGCGTTTCGAGAGGGTTCCCAGTAAATTCGGGTAAAATTAGCGTTTTTTGTGTGTGTTAAATATCAAGTTTTTGGGGTCGCGGCAACAGTAAAGTAGCCCAATTCCGCGGGAAAACGGCGGACTTGGCAACACCGAGCAGCACCCACCACTCAGAGCGTTTCCCGCCGCAGAGCCATTCAAAAAAGCATTTGGCGCGCTTTATTTCTCCAGTCAGTCGCGCTTAACTGTCTGTGGTGCTTCTCCTCGCGCTCGTCAGTAAGATGCCCTGCTCTGGAGTTACAGAAGCGGCTTCTCCGCAGAAGAGACGCAAGAGCGACGCGCTGGACGGACGCGAAGACCCGAAGGTGCTCAAATTCGCCAAGCTGACAGAAAACGCCACGACACCGAGCCGAGGATCGAACCGGGCCGCGGGGTTCGACCTGTACAGGTGAGACCCGAGAGGAACCGTTTCTGTGTTTCTGCAGAACTCCCGTCTGCGGTGTTTAACCCCTCTTAATTCTGTTAAATATGTTTCAACCTGTAGAAAACATCTTTATGTTAGTATTTACTGCATTTGATGAACTGTGATGAGTTGTTCTGCGCATGCGCGCTGCTCTGCACGTGGCTAGATTCAAGCACATTTCTCTCTCTAGATGCATTCATTTATTTCTCCTTCTAAATTCCGCGTTTTTAGGCTCTTTTTATAAGCTTGTAATTCTAGTACTTCCTGCTGCTTGTGTGCATTGTGTGATTAGATAACGTTAGTGTTGTGCACATGCATGCTGCAATGCTTATGATCATATTAATCTCTTGCATTGATTTTTCCCTCTTAATTCCGCGTTTTTATACTCTTTTTTTTGTGAGGTTACTGCACCAGTAAAGGGCTAAAATACAATTAGAGTATATTTTATTTGTGACAGTGTAAACCAAAAAAAGGCCTATGAAATGTTCACAAACATGGCTTTATATATGTATGATTACGGATTAGATTCTTTTAATAGCTTAAAAGCTCAGTTTAAGGTATCGATATGGACGATACTGGGCTTGAAAATATCAGTATCGGATCGAAAATAAAATAAGAGGCATCGGCCATCCCTAGACTAATTTAAGATTAAATTAATTTAGATTAAACGTCCTCTTTTTGACGGTCACGCAGCACCGGGGTTGCCAGGTTTTCACAACAAAATCCGCCCAATTGCTACTCAAAATAGACCAAAAGTAGCCCAATCGCGTTTCGAGAGGGTTCCCAGTAAATTCGGGTAAAATTAGCGTTTTTTGTGTGTGTTAAATATCAAGTTTTTGGGGTCGCGGCAACAGTAAAGTAGCCCAATTCCGCGGGAAAACGGCGGACTTGGCAACACCGAGCAGCACCCACCACTCAGAGCGTTTCCCGCCGCAGAGCCATTCAAAAAAGCATTTGGCGCGCTTTATTTCTCCAGTCAGTCGCGCTTAACTGTCTGTGGTGCTTCTCCTCGCGCTCGTCAGTAAGATGCCCTGCTCTGGAGTTACAGAAGCGGCTTCTCCGCAGAAGAGACGCAAGAGCGACGCGCTGGACGGACGCGAAGACCCGAAGGTGCTCAAATTCGCCAAGCTGACAGAAAACGCCACGACACCGAGCCGAGGATCGAACCGGGCCGCGGGGTTCGACCTGTACAGGTGAGACCCGAGAGGAACCGTTTCTGTGTTTCTGCAGAACTCCCGTCTGCGGTGTTTAACCCCTCTTAATTCTGTTAAATATGTTTCAACCTGTAGAAAACATCTTTATGTTAGTATTTACTGCATTTGATGAACTGTGATGAGTTGTTCTGCGCATGCGCGCTGCTCTGCACGTGGCTAGATTCAAGCACATTTCTCTCTCTAGATGCATTCATTTATTTCTCCTTCTAAATTCCGCGTTTTTAGGCTCTTTTTATAAGCTTGTAATTCTAGTACTTCCTGCTGCTTGTGTGCATTGTGTGATTAGATAACGTTAGTGTTGTGCACATGCATGCTGCACTGCTTATGATCATATTAATCTCTTGCATTGATTTTCCCTCTTAATTCCGCGTTTTTATACTCATGTATAATTGTGACCCATACAATGTATTGTTGGCTATTGCTACAAATATCCCCCAGCGACTTAACACTGCTTTTGTGCTGCAGGGACACATATGATGTCTTGTTCTCTGACAAACTGAACCAAAAAAAGACAAAAATACTGCTCTTAATGATGACATGCATGTTTTTCCAACACAGTGAAGAAGGGCGACCGCATCGCTCAGCTTGATGCTTTGCTGTGGTCTCACATGTGTGGTGTGTCTACAGCTGGCGTGGTGGATGAGGACTACAGGGGGAATCTGGGAGTCGTGCTCTTCAACTTCAACAACGAGCCGTTTGAAGGCGAGACCGCAGCTACTGCAGATTCATTATAACCTAAAAAGCTCTTGAATCAGAGCAGAAAGTCTTGCATTCATGAAGTCGTGACATTAAATGTTGCATGCACTGCAAAAGCTGAACCTTCAGAGCGAGTATCTAAATATCTTTAAAGATGCATTTACCCGAGATGCAAACTGAACACACGTGACCCTGGAGCACAAAACCGGTCATTTTTGTGAAATTGTGATTTATGCATCAGCTGAAAGCTGAATAAATCATCTTTCCATTGATGTATGGTTTGTTAGGATCGGACAATATTTGAAAATCTGGAATCTGAGGGTGCAAAAAAATCTAAATATTGAGAAAATCATCTTTAAAGTTGTTCAAATGAAGTTCTTAGCAATGCATATTACTAATCAAACATTAAGTTTTGATATATTTACGGTAGGACATTTACAAAATATCTTCATGGAACATGATCTTTACTTAATATCCTAATGATTTTTGGCATAAAAGAGAAATGTATAATTGTGACCCATACAATGTATTGTTGGCTATTGCTACAAATATCCCCCAGCGACTCAACACTGCTTTTGTGCTGCAGGGGCACATATGATGTCTTGTTCTCTGAGAAACTGAACCAAAAAAGACAAAAATACTGCTCTTAATGATGACACGCATGTTTTTCCAACACAGTGAAGAAGGGCGACCGCATCGCTCAGCTGATCTGCGAGAGGATCTGTTACCCGGAGCTGCAGGAGTTACAGGTACACGCTGCTGTGGTTAACATGCATGCTTCACTCGTATGACTCCGCAGTCTGCTGTATTTGCGTGGTGTTTTCTGGTTTCAGACGCTGGATGAGACGGAGAGAGGAGCGGGAGGCTTCGGATCCACCGGCACCAACTGAAACTGTTAAATGTTAATGTTGTAAACATTAAAATGTTAATCACATTTATAGTTAAATGGTGTAAAATGCGTTCATTTCAAGGAGAGAAATGTAATTAATTTCTCACTTAATGACATTGTGTCTCAGTGAAATAAACAGTTCTTTATGTGAAATGTCAGAAGGTTGTTTTTTCCCCCGACGTCTTAAGATTACATTTCACACAGTGTTGATCATTCTGCTTTTATTTGCAATCTATTAACCCGTTTTTTTCTACATCTATCTTGTAATTATTATTTTGTGCTTTTATTTTATTCCCCACTTAATTTTGCACGCCGTCTCCAATGCAGAGCAGGGTTTTTGTCGTGTAACCCTCATGTTGTGCTCTGGTCATTCTGACCTGGAGAGGATTTTCTTTTTCTTGCACGAAGCCTCGCTGTGCTCACACGGGATATAACGACTTCCCTCAAACAATCTGGATCATTTTTGTGCTTTTGGGGGATTTTGGCATTCTCCTTCAAAAATGACCATTCTACAAAAAATGCTTTCTAATACCAAATATTGGACTCGGTCTAATCAACTTGTTTTCTTTCAGTTCACACCAGTTTAGTGTTGTGTTTTAACAGACCGATTGCAGCCGCATTTTTTTTCACTTAAACAGAGTTGCATAAACTCAGATCAATGTGGCTTTTAATCAGTCAGTTCCAAAAAGAAACAACCTGTGCTGATTGAAAGAAAACAAGCTAATAAAAAAAGATTGAATCCAGTATTTAGTGATTAAAATGCCAGGAAAGATGAACCGTTTTTAAAGAGGGGTAGTTTTTGACCAGAAACACAATTTTGTAAACTACTTCCAGCAGCACAAGGGTTAAAGAGAACTAAATTGAACCGTGTAAGTGACTGTCTAGAGGTCCGCTCATAAAAACAGCAGCAGACCGAGGTTTGGACAAAATAAATCTCAAATATAAGTTTTCATCGGTGGCACGTTTGATCATTGCGTCATTCACAGACTTGCATCTAGATTTAGTGTGTTTTGTTCAGGTCTAAGATACTCGTTATCTTTACCCTTACTATAAAGTACAATGGTGATCTCAGATGATAACACTAGTACTGTGCTGAATGATACATTTATGGAAATTACATCCACAAAATACATTTACCTCCTATCGCATTATATGTTTGAATCATTTCAATCGCATGTTATTGGAGATCTAGAGAACACTGATATTTAGATCAACGTGATATTTCCTGATTCACTGATATTATTTTTGTATATACAACCGCAAGTGAAGTTCACTTTAAAGAACATTTGCATTTTTACTTATAGAGATAATTCATGGAAAATTTGCCATGCTAAGTGGAAGATTTTTGCCAAGATTTCAACTGCTAGAAAAACAAATGCTATTAAAATCAACCTCATGTTATTCCCACTATGACCACTAGATGGCAGAGGATCATTCATTGTCTTATTTCTCATTTCCACTCCGTAATATACTTCTTTTCACATGTTTTGCTTTTAGATTTATATTTAGACATTATAAAACCACTATTACAACATTTAAAAGTTCAGCATAGTTTTATATTGAAGTGAGAAGCAGTTTTCAACTCACCGGATCTGCTTGAATCACACAAATGGACTATTTAGAATTTTTAAAGCGGGAATTTTCAGCGAAAGGTGGCTAGTTTGTATCCTAGTTTACAATCTTCTCAGTTTCTCTCCAATGCCCATTCACAAACATGTTTTATTACATTTTTTGACCAATAGAGATACAGAAATGAACTGATATGAATCACTTCGCCCTCTTAGGCAGCAAATGTTTAATGACTTCATGACTCACAATGAAGAAGAAAAAGAGAATAGGATAAGCGTAGCTATTTCTCTTAGTTCACTTGGACACTGCTGTCCTCATTTTCATGCATTGTTTCTCTTCTCCCCTTCATCTGTTCTGTTCTGCGCCCCAGACGTTTCCTCCTCTATTCATTTTGGTCGAGTAACAGCAATGCGCCAAAGGCCGAGCAGTTGATATGTACTCCGTTTATAATAAATATATTTTTGTGCTCATTAAAAATGCTAAAATAATTTTTAACAACTACGCTTTTGATTATTAATAACGTTTATTATAAAGATTTTTTACAGAATGATTTCGGCAAATTGTTTGCGCCACTGCTGTACTGTTATAAAGATCTGTGATTTACAAGCAGCAGAATTTCATCATATAATATCAGCATCTGCAGCAAATTCATATTTTTGCCTCTCTGAATAAAATTGAGCTGTTCTTGCGATATGAGCCGCAGAAGCCTGATGGATCATGTGATACTCATAAAAAAACAAACTTTCTTGTAATATATTTTGTCTAATCAACCGTTCCATTTTTAAAAAATGACTATTATGACTATAATTGAGTATTATTCGATATGTCAGGCTTTTGAGAATACCACTGTATTACCAATTAGGGTTAAAAAAGGTGGAAAATTTCGGAAATATTCCAGAAATGTTGGAAACTTTCCAGGATATTTTTGGAAATTTTCCACCCCTTTGCAACCCTATTGCCAATGCATGTAACGCAGCAGTATTATTCTCACGATACGACGCCAACATGGTCAGCTGCTCAGTTATAAACTCTGGAATGAACTGTTATTTTTCCACGAGGAACCGAGCGAGAACGAGTGCTTCTGAGAGCCGATGGAGTTCGGAGGCCGCTCTGAAAGAAGGCCAGCGCTCGAGTCGCCCGTACAACCAAAAATATGTTTTTATTGTGAATGTACATCTAACCCCCTCACGAGTGTGAAGACAGAACAGAACGTGGTCGTACAGACTCTCATCGCCGGAGGCCACAGGTGTGTGTGGATCAGTGCATATGGATCGAGTCACAGAAACACAGTTTACAAGTAGTTGGTCATTATAAGAAGCACCATTACAAACCCCTCCGCTCCAGGGGTCCTCTAGTTTACAAATGCGTTCGCGAGTAAAAAGGTGACACGGTTACAGTATAGACACACTTAAATTACATGGACAGGGTTTCTGCAGGTCTCACAAAGGTCTGCATTCGCTCTTACACAATCTGAGGGCTTACAAAGGTCTGGAAGCGGAGCAGAAAGTCTTGAACTCGTAAGTGTTGCGCGCACTGCAAAAAATGAATCTCTCCCTCAGTATTTCTGTCTTGGGTTTCCAGTGCGAATATCTAAACCTGTTTAAATCGAGATACACTTACTGGAGACGCAACATGAACACGTGATGTAAAAAACGAGACGTTTCCGTCCACATTTTCATGCAAATTTTGGAATATTGCATAAAACACTGGATTGGAAATGCCAAGATGCGCATGAAATGTACAACATTTTAAAAACTCGATTGAGGAGGATCGTTTTTATTCAAAAAAGAAGACATGCACGTTAACTACAATGGAAACACGTTAACCAAGGTCTGGAATCGGAGCAGAAAGTCTTGAACTCGTAAGTGTTGCACGCACTGCAAAAAATGAATCTCTCCCTCAGTATTTCTGTCTTGGGTTTCCAGTGCGAATATCTAAACCTGTTTAAATCGAGATACACTTACTGGAGACGCAACATGAACACGTGATGTAAAAAACGAGACGTTTCCGTCCACATTTTCATGCAAATTTTGGAATATTGCATAAAACACTGGATTGGAAATGCCAAGATGCGCATAAAATGTGCAACATTTTAAAAACTCGATTGAGGAGGATCGTTTTTATTCAAAAAAGAAGACATGCACGTTAACTACAATGGAAACACGTTTACTCAATAAATTCTTTAATGTGCAACAAAGAAGTCATGTGACTTTGCCTCTACAGATCATGTGACTGGATATGTAGACTAACTGATCTCATATGTTATTTTAATGCAATAAGCCCCGTGAAGTTGTGGTTTAAAGTGAATTTATAACAGCTAAGGGGCGTTATTAGGTACGACGCGGAGCTGTTATAGATTCACTGTAAACCACGGCTTCACGGGGGTTACTGCTTTTATAAAACGGTTATTCCATATACGCAGTAAGGTTTCACAAAATAAAACGGAGCAAATAAAGTGTAGTGATATTAATAAACACAGTATTCTTCCACCAAACAATGTAGCGCCTCAGAAACAGTTGTGGTTGCTACAAAGTGGTTGCCGAGCAACACACAGAAGTAAACAAAGGTGTGTGTTACTTTGTAGCGTCGACTCTACAACAGCTTCGAACGCGGCTCAGCCAATCAGAGTCAAGCACCGGAACTCTCCGCTTTATAATAATAATTATGAAATGCCTGAGCCAGTCTGTCATCAAAATGATTTGATATAATCACCTCCATAACTCTCAAACAATTACATTTCCAAACATCAGGCATCTGAATGCAAGATCACATGACTGTTTGATATTGCGTTTGGCCTGCGCACGCTCTAAGACACAAGCCATTTATTATTTAGGAAAAAAGCCACGCGTGTCCCGTTGCAGCAACTTTCATTTTTATTACTGATATTTTGCAAGTCGTTCGATTTTTCTTTTTGAGCACGTGGGATTGAAGCAGTGCTTCACTCGCAGATGTTTTATGCAATATTCTACTTCCCCGCATAAGTTAAATTTGAAACTTTGGATGGAAAATTACTTTTCCATTTTAATTCATTTTTCTGAACCCATCAGCAGATATTTGTTCATTTTTCATTGCGTTTTTGAGAAGTCTGAACAGCGTCAAAATGATTCCATTCACACAAATCCGCGAAAATGACTACAAACGCTGTATTATTCATGCCGGACCAGTAGTTGGCGATATAAACAGTTAAAGTTTTTCACCAAGTTTCACGTGCTTTCGTAGTTTACACAGAGACGTTTTCATAAAAGTCCCCAAAATGCTGCTGAATGGCCAAAACACACAAAAAGTTTTCCATTTTTAGTTGAAAATAGTGCCATGTTAACACCCCCCTTAATCATAAACTCACTTACTTTTAATAAAGCTTTTAGAAAACAAGACTTCTTATTTAGTCACTTTCAGTGTTGGGGAAAGTTGCTTTTAAAAGTTATGCATTACAATACTGCGTAGCTCCATAAGAAGTAACTAATTGCGTTACTTAGTTACTTTTTAAGGAAAGTAATCCTTTGTTACTTTTGCGTTACTTTTTGTCAACGGCACTGGGCTTGTTTACTTGTTCTTAACAACAAAACCGAAAAGTAATATGTTAAGGCCCTTTCACACTAAAAGTGAGATGAATAAACCTAAATAATTACTCGACACAGGGACAGGAGAGCCGTCAGTAACTTGCGTTACTTATTTGAAAAAGTAACTATATTATTTTCCTGTGATTTTAAAAGTAATGTGTTACCTTACTAGCTACCTGAAAAGGTATTTGATTACGTAACGTGTTACTTGCAATGCATTACCCACAACACTGGTTACTTTGCTGCTCCAGTAAATGTAACTTGATTTCAGGATCTTGAGACATTTGCACTGGAAAACAAGAGACGATATTGAGGAAGAAGAGCCGTTTTTGCAGTGTGATCAGAAGATACAGTAACAGTTATTGACATATTCTAGTGTTTCTGAGCACAGATATTCAAAACATAAGCTGTTTTTGTTTTGTGTATTGAATGAGAAAGTAATGGAGATCTTTTGGAAGTGGTGTTTTTTCAAACGCTGATGGATTTACATTCAGGGAGCATCCTGATGCATCGTGTTCCATTCGATTTATTTCCTTGACCTTCGTAAGAGCCGCAGGAACCCCGTTAGAATAGTTGCAGAGAAGAGAAAGGCTAGCGTCGGGCAGCCGCAGACGGCGTGGGTCGGTTATTACAGCGCTCACGTGACTAGCACCGGTAAGATACGACAGACTGAGCCAGAGCGAGAACCGGTAGGGTTGAGAATCGAAAACCAATTCCAATTCCAGAATCCTAAATTAATTCCTGTGTGTGCATCTTTTATTTTTAGCTGGCGAAAAGGGGCTTTTAAAAGATGTATTTGTCTTTGAATCATCCATTCAAAAGATTCATTCAAAAACACTGATTCGTTCAGTAATGAAACGAGTCAATCTCGAGTGAGTCATTGAATCATTCCGTGAGATTTTGTTTACTTGTCTAATATGTTTTCTCCAGAATTGTGAGAGAACTACAACCTCCATTAAAAAATAAAAAAAGTCTAAATGTATCCAGAATCAGCTCTATTTTGCACACAAACAGCTCATAATCGATTCGAAATCGATTTGTGTTTATGGTATTCAGCAGGCAATTAAATGTTTTTTAAAAAGAGACACAGAATAATAAATAAGTTCGATATCTAAATCGTCGCCTTGGAATTATAAGGTTCTATCTGACATGCTTCACACATTCCTATTCTGTCACACCTTATTTACATTATGTGATGTTTCTTTTGTAAGCTGTGTACATTTTGAGCTTTTGTAAAGAAAATATGGAACGCAAAATCTATGAATCTCAGTATCTCAAAACTGCTCAGAATGCAGACAGAACCTTATAACCGCAAGGCAGCGAAACGTTTGACTTGATTTTTTTAACCACGTTGGAATCGAAACTGGGAATTGGTGAGCAGAATCGGAATCGGATTCAAACGATACCCAACCCTAGCGATGTGTAATGCGAGCGTATGATGCGGTGCGTGCTGCTCTTTGGGCGCGGCTGCTGCGGTCTGTCCGAGTGTCCGTCAGTGCAGGACGATCTGGACGCTGATGTGCAGAGCGTCTCCTCGCTGCCCGCTGAGGTAGTCTGTGTCGGGCCGCTCTGGGCTGCCGGTCTGCGGCACGCTGCGGATTCGTAAATAATACGCTCCCGGCTGGAGAGCTCTCTTCTTGGATATGTGCAGGTAGCTGACGCCGTCCTTCTGGTTCATGCGGAACAGACCGTCGTCGTTGCTGTAGTCGATAGCGTAGCGCACGTGGTTAGCGAGCGTGGACAGCGCCGGCACAAAGTCGATGATGTGGTCTTTGCTCTTCAGTGTGCTGATGTTCAGACGCAGCTGCAGCGTATCATCCACGTCTACACTGGCCAGACTGACCCAGTCCAGATCGTTCTGCACACACACACACAGTAATTATATTACAGTTACTATCCATAAAACAGCTTGTTATGACTGATTTAAAGTCCAACAAGATTGTGATTTTTGTGTTGGGTAATAATATTAAAATTAAATTCATATAATTATATTTATTTAATTTTCACCAGGTCGAGAAACACAAACTGTGTCAGATCATTCTACTCCTACACACTGAACAACTGTTAACTGGTAAAGCACTATTTAAAAATGTATATTTGACATTATCATTCATGCATTTGGCAGATGCTTTTATCTTACATTGCATTCAAGGCTTAAATTTTAAATAATAATTATAATAATTCGTTACATTTATATAGAGCTTTTCTGGGTACTCAAAGCACTTTACATGAAAGCGGGGGAACAGTTCTCTCATCTTCAGAATGTGTCTGTGTTGTTGTGAGCTCTGATTTGATCATTTCTGTGAATTTGAGCAGCAGAAAGAGTGAATGGACATCATACATGACTTCACTGCACTGCTGTGCGTCACTCATGTAATGCACCTCTTTGGGGTTTAAAGTTCATTCACATCTGAATTTTCTGCATCAATGTATTTGTCTTGAGTTTTGGTTAGTTAGGATAAGATAGTTATGCATTTACACATTTAGATGTTTACAATCTGTGGTTTTAAAGGTTATAAGAGCTCATAAGCATCTCAGTGAGCGCTGGATTACCTGAAGCTCCTCGGTTTCGTTGGCGTTCCTGCGTTTGCGGCCCTTCTTCGGATAACCGTTGATCTTACACTCGTAGCAGGCCTCGGGAGAGAGAGCGTTCTCGTCTCCATCAGCGGCGGGAGTGTGAGGAGATCCAGCCGACAGCCCCGTGCCCGACAGACAGTGCCTGAGACACACACACACACACAGACACAGACACACACACACACACAGAGACACACATGCACGCACGCACCCACGCACACACACACACGCATGCACACACACAGACAGACACACACGCACTCACACGCACAGACACGCACACACAGACACACGCACGCACGCACACAGACACACACACACATGCACGCACG